TCCCAGCGGACAACGCTGCCTCCGGAGGCCTTTTCCCCCCCAAGAAAAAATTAGATAAGCAAAGATAAAATGATGTGCTTTCAGATGTTAATGTCTCTTCTAATATTGCCACTTTTTAAAACTGTTACATAATCCAGTTGCGTAACCAACACGCTCAACTTCTCCGTAAGGCCGCTCCCCTCCCGCCATCCATCAACCCTGGCATCACAGAGGGTTCCTGCGTGAGCTGCACAACTTCCTTTGTTTCCCGAATAACCTGGTCACTTGTCCTCCACCTATTTCTTGTGCTAATCCACTAAAAATGAGGCCCCAGACAGCACCTGCTGCCACTGCATGCTACTGACCCTCCATATTCCAAGCAGCCTGACTGACCAGTAAGTACTTCAACAGCTAAAAGCTGAAGTCTTCAAAATGCCAGTTAACAAGGGTGACACTAACACTGACTTACAACAACGTGAAAATCAAAGGATCCTTAAAGGACCCCTCTTTTCAGAAACTTGACTTTGAATGGTAGTCAGACGCAGGGATGGCACAATCCTCCAGGCCAGTTTTCTGCCAGAGTGGTTATTTTAAAAAAATTAAAGGTTCATACTCTTCCCCTGATAAGCTGAGCCTGCACCATTCTGCAAAAAGCCTAAAGCAAATTAAAAGAGCAGCAGAATTATCATAACTCAAGTGCACATTATTTTTATACTAAGTTGCAAGTCTTCATGTTGTTAGCAGTCACCTACAGTCACATACAAGAGAGAGGTAGTTTTAGAAAAATCTGAGATTTGAAAAGGTAGTCAACATTTATAGATTTTTTTTATCCTACTCTTGCATTTGCTTCTTAATCAGCTGTTTGTCTTACAAATTCTTTTGTTTTATGAGTTTTACAGACAGAAAAAACAAGGCTAAGATGCTGTCATGAACTGCTTTCTAAAACAGCCTTTCAGCATTATGAATGATGCTGATCCACCCAAAAAGTAAATTTTTGAGACAGTAAGCTCAAAGGACACAGCCAAAGACGTTCAGAGAAACAAGCAAACAACCAGACAGACTTCTAACCAGACAGATTCTAAGAGACTTTATCCAAGGCACTGTCTAATACATATACAAGGACCACAAAGGTTCTGTTGAACCACCACGTGATGAGTGCCCTCTGTTCTTTCAGGACACTCAGGAAAGCTCGAGATGGCTTGTTGGAATTCCTCAGAGAAGCTGGAGGTACTCAGCTTCTGGTTCACGGTCATCTATTCTCCAAAAAAAAACCCAGACCTGGAGCAGCTGAGGCATGCAAGAGCCATCTGTGACAAAACTGCCACCTTAAGTTCAAGACTTCTATCCTATGCCTTGACGTCGATGGTAAAAAGTGCAGGAAAAGTTTCTTAGAACTCTACAAAAAGAGACAAATCCAAACCTTCATTTTTATTAGGGTTTGTTTCTTTTTGTATTTAGGCACAATTCTTAAACCGAAGTAGAAAAAACTCCTAAAGGTTTTCCCACCAGTACTTCATATGCTTGTGCACACATGCAACGGGGGTTTTATTTACACAGAAAGACTGGAACATCTGGCACGGCACAGGCACACATTAACATATGAAGATATGCATGTATTATAACATAAACATGCCTACACTATGAGCAAATGTAAGCTAATTACACCTCCAATGATACCAACATTATTCATGTCATTAATGCAAACAGAGCTCATGCTGGACTCTGCTTCCTAAAACTAAGTATGTGCCCAAGACAACACTGGAGAAATCACATTAATCTCAGCTAAAATTACAGGGAAAATAATCAGTTGGTCTGCAAAGCCAAGGGGTGCAGAGTATGCCAATTCAGCTTCCTTTGAATTGAAAAAGGTGCACATTCAGTGACAACACAAAACTGAGCGTTTTATCAACGTGCTTTGAGTGCTGAAAACCTGCTTTTTGAACTTTAAAGGACAAAAAATAATCAGGTTCAGAATTTTTTTGTTCTACTGAAAATGAAGAGGGATGAAATGTAATCTAAAGTTCCTTTCCAGCCTTATGTTTCAGAATGACTATTGATATCTACACTTAGTTATCAGTAAGGGCATGTAATAAATACCTAAAGTTTTAGTTCTCTTAGTAATCAGTGGGGGAGGGAAAGAAACAAATAAAATGATTAATGCCAGCAGGGTACACACAGCCATATTTATTAGCTCACTTCCAATTACATAAAAGAGAAAGCTGAAGCCATACACAAGTACTGCTTTAAAATAAAAGACAGACTACTGTTTTCTCCAACAGTTTTATTTCAAAAAGTACACAAGTCTGTCATGGAACTACAGCATTTTAAAATTTTGAATTTTTTTTTTTTTTTTTTTACAAATTCACTCACAATACTCGTATTTTAAATTACCATTCCCCCAAAAGTGTGAATATAAAACCTCATACTGAAATTCATATCAATATTCAAAGTCCATGCTTTGTGCATGAGAAGTGTAACGTAACATCATAACATTTGGGATTCCAGGAAGTTTTATTGCTCCGATTTCAACTGAGCTGTGCCTCAAGGTTAGAGGACCAATAACCAAAGGGTCCCATAAAGCACCTATCAAGTGTATAAAACAAGGTTTAAGTGACACAAAGAGCTTAATGCCTTTAGACTGGAACAGAGACCTAAAGTGATCCAGAATATATACACTGTTCAGAACAAAACTAAAAGCTTGTCATGGAAACCAGTAATATACAATATTCAGCATTACAGAAAAAACTTAAGAAGTCTTACTTGCACTATTAAGCAGAAAGCATACATCTAATATGAATGCAACTATCCAGAGTTGATAAAGACGTATGCAATGTACATTTCTCTCAAATGTCATGTTTTACCCCCTCCAACAAGGCATTTCTGTGCACTACACAGTTTTGGAAGAAGTATTCATTTTCCAGGGAAGGAGGTTTCACACAATTATCTTTAAATATCCACTGCAGGAAGTTTATGAAAATGCTTGAACTGTATGGACAAGTGTTAACGGAACCTCTACAGTATTACAAGTCTAACACTTTATTCACACCATGCTAAAATTGAGGGGTTTCTTTCTATATAGAGTAGTCCTTAACAGGCAAGTTTACAGTCATGACATTAACTAGAGGTTTCTTGAGCTCACTTAAGAGTATTTACACAATGGTACCATCCTCCCTACCCCCTCCCCCCCTTTTTTCTTTTTCAATCAAATGAGACATTAAAAATGCCACCTCCTAAGTGGTATATCAGCTGCCATTACTTCCTAAAAGTGTTCTGTTAGCAGAGCTATCTGTAAGATTGGACACCTCACGTGTTTAACCAGTTCATCTCCTACACAGCTAGAAATCATTGTCAGATACAGTAGCTGCTCTTGAGAATCATAATCCAGTGTAAGTGAACAATCTAGTGACAAAAGAAATAATTTATGCTTTATAATAGTAGTGTTCTATCCATCCAAAAAGGCATGATGATAGCAACTTGAGGCCAAGTTTACCTCAAGTCAGGGGTTCTTTATTTCAGATAAGGACTATGTCAGATTCTATTTCTCCTCTTTTTCCATGCAATTACATAAATAGACAGACGCTGTCAAGGCTGCTAAGCCTAACAGCCAGGCTCTGAGGGCACATCACACTGTCCTTCTGTCCATTTATTATTTTGCACAAGCTGACAGAGCATCAAGCATGTGTAAGCTCTGCTCTGTGTGCTTTACTGAGATAGGTTTCTGGTTCTGAGTGTCCTAGGGCTTAACTGACTTTAGGTACAGGGTCTCGGGCCAAACAAACAAACAAACAAACGAAAAAACCCAAACCAAAACCAAAAGAAACCAAAACAAAACCCACCGAAAAGCACATATGACCACAGATGGCTAAGAACCAAATTTAGTAGGTTTGCTGCCTGGTTGCTTAGGTTTATAGCTCTCTCTCAGTCTGTGATTCAGCTTAGTTTTGTACTCAACTTGCATTTATAATAACTATACCCTTTCGATTAAGGAAGGCCTTAGTTTCAAGGTAAACAATCAGTGTACGATTAACATCATGGAAGTCTCTTCTGTCACAATAATTGGATGCAAGAAGATGTCTGTCTCCTCATCTACTGTTCTTCAGAAGCTATGTTTGGCACATTTACTAAACCTGTTATTTACCACACAAATAAAAGTCAATCATCCATCTCATTGGTACAACAACTGAACAGTTTTCAGGAATATAAACACTTGAGTCGTAATTAGCAATTGAAGGAGTAAGTAACATTTTGAAATACAGAAGAATACAGAGAGAGACACTGAAGTCACATCCAAAAATAGGCATGAAGAGGTATAAATAGTACATAAGAATCAAGAAATCAGATCACAGTGTCATGTTTTAAGAACTGTACCATCATCTAAGCACCTGTTCAAACAGTATGTTTAGGCACCAGAAATTTCATAAAAACTGAAGTTACAATCAGGCAAAGTTTATTGACAAGGCACACATGAAAGATAAAAAATCTGATCTCTAACAGTATCAGTTTACAATCTAAAAAAGTCCCAATGTGTAAAACTAAGTCTAGAATACTTAATAGCTGTTCAAGTTTCTAAATTCAGTATGAAGGGTATGTTAGGATTATAAAATGGTTTGGGTTGGAAGATGACCTTGTACCAACCACCCTGCCATGGGCAGGGAAATTTCTTTACATTAATAGTGCCAGCCAAGGATTGTGCACCTAATTACAGATAGGACAAACATTTAGTAGTAAGCCAAAGAATTCATCACAGATCTATAAGCAGCTACAAAAAAAGCAGACACTAAACCTAGAAGTCGGGGGAAATGTTTTCTCTCACACTGTTGCTACACACAAACAATCCTAACATCTTTCAACAGGCTATTCAGATATTTCCTTCATCAATATCAGTGCCACATACTATATGCTTTGAGAGTTTTCCAAAATACCTTGCAGTTCAACCTCTATAGCTAGAAAAAGCTGAAGGGACTCTCCCCCACCTGCCCCCCCAGCACAGGATGAAGAAGGTAGAAAACAGGAAGGAAGGTTCAAGCTGCACTAAGCTTTCACAGGTATGTAATACCAGTTATCAGAAGCTATAAGAAGTCCTAAATACATGTGAAAGTAAGAGAAAGAGTTGTTCTGTTTCTCCTGTATTGCTTTAAGTTTGCGAAATTGGGAAGAAGCGCTTTTAATTTTGAAACATGAGATTTAAATGAACAATTCTGGATAACTATTTCCTCTCAGCTGCACAAAACTCTTGCTCTGAAAAAGTCTGAACGTTGGTTCAGAATATTTAGAGCTGTTGAAGAGGCAAGGAGAAATGAGCTTTAAACTCCTTCCAAATTCATACAGGAAGACATTAGCATCTTGAGTAAAGGCTGACTACTGCTTACATGTATATGGGAAAAGTTGTTTCCACAGTGATGTTAGAGGACAGATATCCAATACCAGTTACTTAACAGCTTAATAGCTCTCATTAAATCCCCATGGAGCTTCTAGGTAATTGGTTTGGAAAAAAAATAGGAGCACTGCCTTAGTATCTAAACAGGTGTTGGAAAATGCAAGGTACAATTAACTTAAAGACCTGCATAAAGATACATAATCCATTCTCACTGTGACAGTAATAGTTGATTTATAGATCTCAAAGCTTAGGTACCAACAACCTGACAGGACCTCTTGCATCAGATAACGTAAGTATTAAGTCGACGTGACTAGAACTAGTTATTGCAGATAAATTCATGTTTCAAAGAGCTTGCAAGGTCTCCTGTCACACTTCCACTCACTGACATTTTAGATTCAGAGTAGATTAATTAAACTAATTGAACCAATTAAATAACTGGCTGCCCCTGAAGTAAGAGCTCAAGTGCTCCAAACAAACATTACTGGATCAAAGAACCACATAAATATGAACAGAATTCAAAGTCATCCTCAGTATTTCAGCCCCATGCAACTCATCAGAGTTCAATATCAAGTCCAAATATTTCTGTTATTCCATAATTGAGGATAAAGTTACAGGAACTCTGAGAAACTCCATGGTCTACACATGAAACACTTTTGTTAATTCTCATTTGTCTCACTGTTACACATTCAGAACTGCACATTAGCTGACAGTGTCAGTGTCTCTTCAGCAACCTACCACAGGTCCAAATACCTTCAGTGTCCAATATTTATTTAGGAACTTCAACGCTTTTAGCAAATAGTTCAACTGTCTTATACTAATAAGTTTAAAATTAAATCTGAGAATTGGTGGCTTTTCAAACTAACTTGTTCATTTGCTTCAAGGAAGATTTCATGCCAGTGTTTAAATGGGGGATGGAACACAGTAGTTTCCTCTAATACTTACAATGAACACTTTAAAAAACAGCTTTTAAATTAATAATATTTTATACTATTGACCCATCTTTGCTTTGTGCTGGAATCATCACAGGAACAGCTCCCATTCTACTTAAATTAGGTGCAGCTACCTTTGAAGGTGCAAAGGTTGGGTTTTGACCAGGAGCACGATCAAAGTCTTCACTTGGGACTTGGCTGTATGGAGTTTTGGTATATCCTTCCATATTGGAGGGAGACATTGAACCCAGAGAAGAACGATTGCTGCCGATGTAGCTGCGAGCTGTTGAACTGCGACTTTTTGGAGGTGGAACATCTTCTCTGAAATAAACAAAAAAGAATTGCAGAACAAGAGTTCAGTCACCATTGCTACATGGGAGCTTACAAAACGAGTATTCAGTTTGTTTCCTTCTATTAGGATGCAGTAGCCAAAAAAAACTTTACTTCTTCCTTTAAAGTAATAAAAAACTCAAGTATCGATTGCCCTTAAAAATGTTTACTGAAATTAGACATGACTACAAAACGTTCTCTGACAAACAGTTAGCATGTTAATAAGCTTTCCAGATTAAGACAAATCTCAACTGTTAAGTATCTTACTTGCAGAAATACACATTTAAAAGTTAATCTTCCAATAATACTGCTCAGAAACCAGAGACATGTTGTTACCTGATATCATGATGTACTTCTTTCTCATATTTCTTCTCTCTGTGCTTCTTACAGCAACAGAAGACGATAGAAGTCAGTACAGAAAGACCCAGCAGAGTTCCTATAATAGCTCCAACAATTATACCAGCTGTATTTACGGCTAGAATAGATAAATAACAATACTTTTTGTTAAGCGTCGAAGTTATAAGACCAACTTTCTTTTAACATTAAACCCAGTATATTTTACATGATCCATGTTAATAGCACACCACCGAATCACAGAGATGCTCAATCACACGCATTTAAAACAATAATAAGACTTGAACTGGCACCCACCACTTACAGAGTGTTGGATTTGAGTTTAGAGATAAAAAGACTCTTCAGTTTTCACGCACAGAACACTCTGTGACCACTGCACAGCAAACACTTACGAGGGGTGACATTCAGCTGAACGGAACATTCATCCGTGCCAACTCTGTTTGAGGCCACACAGCTGTAGGTACCAGAATATTCTTGAGAGGCATTTTTCAGAACAAGTTCCCCTGTATCTTTATCTACAAACAACAAAAGGGAGAGGTTTATCATTTTGTTAAGTTTAATTCCATACACAGTACTACAGACTTATTAATCAGCATACACATGAAAACTTAACTTAAAAAGGCCATATTAAAGAGATACAAATAAAACCAAAAGTCTATCATGCTGTAAACCACTATTATCTGTAAAAGTCTGTTAGAAGTTTATTCCATAGGATTTGACTTGATATTAAACCTACTGACTAATTGCTCTGTCAATGGATAGGAACAGATGCTACTCTCAATGCTCTATAGCCTTGCATTAAGTTATCTGACACAACTAGAACTAGTTATGACAGAAAAATTCATGTTTTGAAAAGCTTGCAAGGTACCCTGTCGCATTTTCACTCGCTGAGATTTTAAGTATAGATTCATGTTACCTTCAGATGCTATGGCCAATCCTCTCATCTTAACACAGAATTCTAAATTACAAAAGATTAACTGCACGCCCAAAACAACTCCCCACCTCTTCTAAATCGATTCTACACAACCGGCTCAGGTGTTTGCAGAACTCAAGCTCAGCAAGAGGTGGATCTAACCCAAACATGTGCTCCAGTGGGTGACCAACTAAGTCCAGCTAAGCAGATTCCTTAAGAAATAGGGAAAATAAAGAGGATTTCCCAAGGCTTTCAAAGCCATTGACAGCTACATTGTGAGACTCTACCATGTGAACTTCAGCTGGCTTGCATGCTTTAACTGCCAACAGCATGGCAAAAGACTGCACCACAAGAACAAAGCACCAGGCAAATACTTTGCTCTGCCTGCTGAACAAGTTGTGTAGACTCTTGAGAACATGCTCAGTGTCCCCATACCTACATTCACAAGCCCAAAACTAACATCATTTTATTGAGTCACATGCCACCTTTGCACAGTTCCTCATTCACTCACTGATACTGTCAATTGATTTTTTTGTTACCATGAAACAAATTTGGGATGTGGGGAAAAAAGGGGGAACAACAACAGTGGCTTAAAGTCCTGACTGGTGCTGAGAAAGACATTAATGATCAACCATTCACTGTCAAAACAAAAAAATAAGAGATACCAAATAGCACTACCAGGACACCAGTTCAAAATGAAGAACAGTATCAGGTTCTTCCTTTGTAGCTGATTTCTGAGGACCTGTGTTCTAAGGTATTACAGATTCTAACAGACTATAGAAGCTTACAAAAAACTGGAGATGTTCACAGAAGTCAGTTTTTGCCTGTTTCAAATAAAACTGAAGCCACGTCTGAATTTCCTGAGGCATAAACTACAGGAGGATAGGAGACCCCTATGAGGAAGAACCCTACAACTTTTTATTCTCTCTCCCCTAGAAATCCACTTTGGCTACTCCTAGACACATGATGTCACTTTGTTTTTTGCATCCTGTGCTATCTAAGTTAAAATATGTCTATTTGCAAGCAGATTCTTAAACTTCTACATCTGCAAGGAAATCCTACCATCTCAAAGTTTAAGGTTTTCATAACTACAAAGGAGATCAAAAAGAACTGGTACTAAGCAGTACTTTGCCAAAAAAACATTCTAAAATAATTTCAGAAAACTCACAAGTTAACTTCTTCAATAAAGCTGTCACAATAAAAATCTGATATCACCACTGTAAAAATTTGGAATCCATCAGTCAAAATTCAGAGTATCTTAACCCTATCCTCACAACACTTGGGCACAGGTTAGCATGATACTGCAGCCTAATGGTAAGAATCTCCACTTAAAGCTTGAAACATTTCCCTGTATGAATTAAAAAAACAAAATAAACTCACAACTTATTTCAAAGTCAGCTCTGTTACCCAGTGAGAGGGCAGAAGTAACATTCATCTTGACTACACTAGATTAATACTAATTATGTGATGTTCACAAGTGAAACTAAACCAAAAATATTAATCCATTCTTTTTAAAGATTTCAGAGTAATAAATTAAGTTTGACAGTACTCAGCATGGAAGTGGCAGGAAGTTCATGTGTGCCAGATACTCTCCTCCAGTCGTAAGACAAAAGTGGGGATCCTTCTTGTGATGCACATTTCAAGGTAACGTCCCTTCCAATCTCCTGTGGTCCCACAATGGAACATTTAGTTCTTGCTGGCTTTACTAACAAACAAAATATCATTGAATTAGCAACAGTCACAATCAAGATGCTTGGTAACTGTGTTTTAGTAGGTCAGACCATTTTGCTAAAGCTAAAGCTTGTGAAACAAACCATTTTTATGCATGGAAAGATTTTCTATGAAATGTGAACCAAGCACAGAATTTTTAGAAGTGCTCATTGTTCTGACTGTTATTCCCTTCTTCTCCCAGAACAGAATTATGTCCACCCTTCCCAAAGCCTCAATAACAAGTGCATCATCACAGATTCAATATGACTTTACTCAGCGGAGGTTTTCATTTTAGACATCGAAGACAGAACAGAGTAAGCACGTACAGAATGTCACAGAAAACTCAAGAAATTATCTTACCAAGTACAGTCAACTGTATTTTTCTGCTTTGAACTCCAGGAGCTTTCTTCACTTTGCACTGGTACGTGCCAGTGTCTGCTGCCTTTAAATTCCGGATAACCAGTGAAGCATCACCATTTCTGGGATCAGGAGAAGTAAACTCCATCCTCTCAGTCAGAGCAGCATAATAATTATTATAAATCCTGTCCACAGCATACATAATTATCTATTAAAAAGAAAAGAAATATGATTCAGAAATCCACTTGGCATGCAAACATTTAATATCATTTGGTCTCTTCAGATTCTTGACAGTTTTTTCCATAGTTTTAATCCCAGAAGCATGGCATATCCAAATACCTCCGTCTTCAAAATATCACCATACATCCGATCAGATTTCAATATGTCAGTACGAACTTCTAACTGAAGAAAACCTGCTCTAATTCCATTCTGTAAAACCTGTCTACTAAAAGGAATATATCATCTTATTGATAAGGCTTCCAAATAAAGGAAAGCGTTTATAACTAAAAAAGTTAATTTATTTAAAATTAAATCCTCATAAACCTGTTATTAATCAGAAAGATAATGCAGGTACAAAAGAAAAGTTTGCTTTCTGGAACTGAGTGTATGTAATTTGAGAATTCTTCATTAGAAGGCAAGCTTATAGTGAAAAGATTCTAGACATTTCATACTTAATCTGCTATTCCAAAATTTCCACTATATTTCATTTGACCGGTGCTTCAAATTAATTTAAGATCACAAGCATCCCAGCCTGAAAAGGTGGAAGCTTAAAAAGTCAGTAACAAAACCTGCACATGGACCTACTCAAACAATTAACACCATCCAAAAGAAAGTCTCTACTTACTATTGTTTCCTTCTTTTGATTATCTGCTGGTATCAATACCCACTCAATATCTAGTGGGCCTTCATCTTCCTCCGAGAGTTCAAAAGAACATGGCAACGTAACTTTCTCTCCTTGTGCTTTTTCAAACATTGATTGGTCAATTGAAGTTATAATTAAGCTTCTTGTTAGACCTATAAAAATATATTTTTTTATGTTTTAAGAGCAAGTCACATGCAGCTTTCACCATAAATGTTCTGTTATTTATGAGTATATATTCAAATCCATCAGATACTTTTCCTGTACAAAAATCCTGCCATTAGTCAGACTTGTCACGGTTGGACAGAACCTGTGCAGATCCTGTTACCAAACACAATGCAGAGTCATGTGCTGCTTATTTGGAATCACATCCAACAGGCAGCTACGTCTTTCAAGCCACACCTTATTTTTTGTACAAATCATGTCCCACACAAAGCTAAACTGAACATTTTCAGCAGCAGGTTTTCAAGTTATTAGATAATCACCTTACCACTACTCCCCTCACTGCAAAATGAAAGTTTGGAACAACCATGAAGACTGCCAGGCTAGACAGAATTGTTGTGAAGTCCTAGCTTAGATCAAGTGAAGTTACTCTATCTTGAGTTATAAGGCTCCTTTATCTAGAGAGAACAGACAAATTAATCCTTTCCAAAAATCTCAATGAGTTTTTTACATTTGTTTGTCCTTTCTGCTTGTCTTACTCCACTAAAAAGGCTGTGTAATCCTTATCTGCCTGCCTCTAGGCAAAACATGTTTCCAAACAACAAATTTTCCTCAATTCAACCTTGAAAAAGAATCCATATAGTGACACAGAGCTACTCGAAAGGCCTGAAGCAAGATTCCCTTCTTTCACAACAAACTCAGGCTTCCCTTCTGTCAAGTGTAGGACTTGCACATCACAGTCAGGAAGTGGAAAGCGTGCCTTTAGCTCAGTATGGAAACAGGTTTGGCATTGGTACATCCACTGTTTGGTCCCCTCTGCTGGGAACCAAGCTCAGATTTTAAGATGTTTTATATGTGCACACTGTCAGACAGCAACAGAGATGTGACCACAGCCACAAGAGATGCAAGACCACAAGGAGAGTGGAGGGTGTAAAGAACATGGATTGCTTTGATGAACCTGTAAAATAGCAGCTTGATGAAATAAAGTTTAAAATCATTATAAACAGTGCATTTGTGCTCAAACTTGCACTTCTCCATATAGCAGAGAAGCTGTAGTGCATTTCTGCAGTAGATCATACCATCTGCAGAGCTGGAAGGGACCCGAGAGCTATCCTACTTTACTAAAATTCTGCTCTCTGTCAAGTCTTTCGATTCTCTTCCTGATGCCAAAGCAATAGGATCTTTAACAGCTATTAAAAAAAAAAAAAATCCCTTAGAAGGAGAAACCACCTGATGTACTGAATTCCAGACAACAGCCTGCAAGAAAAGACCTTCACAATTGCTAATTACAAACATACGGTTACAAATTAGGTAGGATTATTTTGTTTCCTACCATTCATGGTATTAGTTTGCATATTACCTTCAGATCAGGGGAGGGGGGGAAAAAACACACAAAAAAACACCCCTCACAAAACAAAACCCCAAAACCCCACCAACTTGAGGTAGGAAAGAGATTTAGGTGCAGTGTCTCCTACCAACTGAGGTACACCTTTTTAAAGATAGCTGGAACAAGGTTTGTAGCACCCCCTTTTTTGCCCACAGTAAACAGATCTGAGCAACAAATTCTCTGCTACTAAGCTGGTACTGTTTCCTAAATGATAATGATGTGAATATGTGCCACAAATGTTATCCTGACCTAAAGGATCTTATCTGACTTCCAAGTTTAAAACTAGCCACTCTAAACCTCTTTAAAAGGTCATTTTACAGTGAATCCATTACAGTGTAATCCTTAAATTTGATCAGCTTTGCATAAACAAAGACTGCTACTAACCATCATCTCTATAAATGGGTAGATTCATGTTTCCATAAAGCACAGTAGCAAATAATGCAAATTCATCATCTATTTTTCATCGACTTCCATGTTCTTCTGTTCCCTTTTCCTCCATGGCTTCATTAGGGAACTGTAATACAATATTCTCAAGTTCATCTCCAAATTGCATTTCTGCATCTTCAATTTTACTACACTGAAGAAACGAGATGGGATGTCAAGTACAGTTTAGGGACAGATGATGAAATACATTATGATGTTACTCCCTTAAAAGCCTCAAATTTGTAACCCAGGAAATTAAAAGCTTTCATTCTGAAGTAAATCAGAGCTTCTGCTCTGTGAGAGCACCTCCACTTTCCCACCTGGAGTTCCATAATAAAGGATCAGAGCACACACATCTCCTTCCCACCTCCCACAAAAGGGGACCTGCTGAGGACTTCACAAACTGCTCAGTAATTCAGGTAAGAGCAACACGATGACATTTGCCTCTTCACAGTGGATTGGGAATAAAGGAATTCATACTCTGGAGATGCTATGACACATCCCTACTACTAAAAAGTACAAAAACCTCTGATTTTTAGTTGCTAACCTGCTGAAACACAACACAGCCAAAACAAACTGGACAGATGAGTATTCAAATGTTGATTTTTTTGACTACTTTTCTAAACAAATGGGACTCCTACAATCGATGTTTTATTTCTCTCCCTCTTCCACCATCAATTGTTCATCTCTTTGACAATTTCAAACCAATACAAAAGCAGAAATAACAGTCCTGTGCACAGTTATTCATTGGTTCTGACATAGCTAAGAAGCATTAGAATCTTCAAGTATCTCTTGCCTCTTCATTGCCAGACAACTTCATGTGAGTATAATTTCAAAGGGAATACTACACAAACTGTTTCTTGTTCCGATGGCAGAACACTGAGAAAGGGACGCTGGGAACAGGAAAGAAAAATTATGTTAAATTCTGGAAGTGCTAAATTTCAGAGACATGCTCCTAGGAAACTAGACTGCCTATCACAGAGCAGCTTGCCTAAAGTGCTTTAAAAGCCAGAAATAGCACACATTTCAGCCTCAGTTTCTACTATAGCTCTCATTTCTCTGATCCAAAATAAAGGGATCAACACAGTAACCATGTGCCCAATAAAAGCAGAACCCAACAGCCTAAAGTGCCTTGCCCAACATACAAGACTTTTACAGAACGTTTTCAAAAGGTTTGAATTTTTGAATCTTTTGAAGTCTGTGAGCAGTATTTTCATACACATTCACTGCATGCAAACATGTCAGTGAAAGTTAAATCACATAAACCTCGGAATAGCACTCAAAAATCATTCCTGCACGTGAAGGTTGCAGCACACATTAGCTGTCACGAGAGGTACTCAAACATCTATCTGAGCCTTCTAATTCTCAGAGATTTTTTCCAAAATCTAAATTCCTTTCTTACTGCACATCTCCCAGCACCTCATTTTTACTATTTTTACCTCATACAAGTGCTCCACAGTCTCTTTCTTACAGCAAGGACTCAAGCACATAAAGCTTTTTTCCAATTTCTCTTTTTCTTTTGGTGAACACTGGCATGCAGAAGCAGCAAGTATCTCAGTTCAGGTGCCTGCCAAAGATAGCTGGGTTTGAACTGAGCATTAGTAACACAAGGGAGGGGCAGGTAATACCAGTTGGAGATTCCCTTCTGCAGGGAAGGCACACACATGTGCTGCCAGATATGCTGGTGAAGGAGGTTTGGCCAGATTCAACGTGTCAGATATTGTCAAGGGTCCTCCAACCCTTATTATCATCACCACTACTACCTTCCTCCCCCACCCCCTTCCTTTTCCCTTCTTTGTTCTTTTCCCCCCTAACTATTACCTGCTCGCACAGGTACCCATCGTGCTATTAATAAAGGAGACCTGGAGCAAATCAAGAGTGGCTAGAAAACACCAGGGGCAAAGAAAGACATGGGACTACAAGTGATGTTTGCTCTCCTTGCTCTTTTCATGTGAGAAGTAAAAGGCTTGTAGAGACACATCCTTAAGTTAAGGACTTGCTGCAGGATTGGCACTGCAAGCAGGGTTTTAATTTTTATGGCCACAAGTGCCCCTGAGAAACGAGGGCTGCCAAGTTGAGATGGGATCCATTTGACGATGGGGGGTTAAGAACAACCTCATCAAATTTGGTGACAAGTCCTGTAAATGAGAGATCCACCAAGGAATGGTAACTGAAGCTTGCAGTTAAGGGAGGGAATAGAGATTGAGACATGCTAGGTACGTGGGTCAGGTTGGTGGGAGGAAGAAGGACCTCGGTGATGAGGATAAAGCACGTTGAAAGGGGATCCACCTAAGGCACCCGTACACAGAACTACGACACCAGAGTAAGACATGTGGGATAGCTTGCATGACTGGAGCTTTGTCACAGATGTGCACAAGCTCTCTAACAAAGCCAGGAGGGAAAGCACGGCAAATGAATTGCCCTCTACCTGAAAGAGAAGCTGGAACACAAAAAGCTGCTCTACAGGATGGACAACAGGCTGGCTAGAGCTTGTGGGTCAGGATTAAAGGAGAGGACCACAATGACAACATCACACTCTTTGTTACAAATCACCTGACCGGGGTAAGTAAGCTGATGAAGTGTATTTCAGCAGTTACATGAAGTCTCTAAAAACCACAGAGACTGGTTACTGTGGGACACTGATCTCCCTGACATCCACTGGAAGGGCAACACAGCAGGACAAAAACAATCCAGGAGACTTCTGGAAGATTCTGGAAGGAAAAAAGCATGCTAAATGAGTCAATCCCCATTTGATACTTTCTTGAAATTGCTTTCAAGGAAAAAAAAAGGAAGAACCTGCTAGGGATGGGATCAACAGCAGTCTTGACTATAGTGACAACAAAATAGTGAAGTTTAAAATCCTGAAAGGAGAGATGAAGGCAAATTCAGCACCGACCCTGCACTCCAGAATTGCAAGTCAACTCATTCAGTGGCTGGAATTCTGTGGGATCCAGCTCTGAAAAGCAGAAGAGCTTAAAAAAGCTGGGAGGTGTTTAAGGACGACTGAGTCTAACCACAAGAGAAGTACATCTCAACACTCAGGAAAACGAACAATCAGATCAATCAGCAGCTTGGCCTAAGGAGGAAGAAGCAAGATTACTCAGAGACAAATACACAAATATTGCCCAGGCATGCAGCACCCCTGCCAGGGAAGTCAAAACACAACCAAAACTGATTCTGTAA